CGCGTGCTGGTGCGCCGCGCGGGGGCGCGCCATCTGCGGGCGCTGGCCGGCCTGCTGCCGGCCGGGGGCGCGGGCGCGGGCGGGGGCGCGGGGGGCGCGGCGCTGCACGTGTACCTGTGCCCCGTGCACTTCTCCCGGTGGATGCTGGCCGCCTGCCGCGTTCCCGGCGTTTGACTAGATCTGACTAATCATTTTTGTCGTTAAAAGTACAAAATCGTGGTTTCGTCGACGACTCTGACCCGGTGGCGACGTCGTAATATTAGTCGAACCTCCTGCAATTGAACGATTGTAAAATAATTTAAAATACAATATGAGCATGATTCGTGTAAATAGTATTTCGTGCGTCCGAAGAGAGGAGGCGTTGACACGGTGGCCGGCACGTCTACAGAAGTATTTCTGAATTCCGACCGACACTTTGTGCGATACGAGATTGCCTCCTCTTCGTAGTGTCTATGTATTTGTAACTTTTCTCTTCGACAATATGGAATTGTGGTGTTTACAAATTATAAAAAATGTAAAAAAAACATTGTAGGATAACTAAAATTCATGATACATATTATTTCTATTGAATATGGGGATGATAGATACTAAATTGATTTAATCAGCAGTTAGATAGTACAAAGCCATTTAAAAATGTGATATTAGTTACAAGTATATCAGTATGCCTAACATAAATACGTTGATATATCTGTTGGTGTACTGTGGTATATTGCGACTGGCGAAAATGTACACATAGAAACAATATGTAACTTGAATTGTGTAAGTTAGTTGTAGCAGTAAGCAATAAAGTAAGGGGTCGTGGAGTATTAACGCTGGCAATGTTAATGGTATCGGTGCTTTGACGGACTGACTATGGCAGTGAGTGATATGTGCCCTATGATTCTTGTGATAATGGAGTGCTTGAGGACGATTTCAGCAGATTGTTTAGTTGTAACTATTGTATAGATATTGTTATAACAATATAAGTGTTAATTATAAATAGAATATATTATTATCTCGCCGTTGGTATGTTGTGGGGAATGTCTGTTTTTAATATTATTCAATTTCATTGAGGTCTATGTTTAATCTTGAAATTTTTGAAATATAACATGCATTGGTGGTCACTGCACACTCGTGGCTAATAGTATTACCCCCTGCGTCGACAGTGCCACTCTAGTTTCGCCATCAAACTAGCTGATTATTGTATTATTTGTTTAATGAACACAACATGTAGTATGTGAGGTAGCGCAAGTGCTATGTTTTCGTTTGTGTCCAGTAGTGTTATATATCTGAATTGATTATTGTATATGAATGGAACTGCTTAGAGTTGACTAGCTAGTTTGATATTACAATTTTATAAATAGCTACGCTATCCGTTTATTATTGTAAATTAATAATGAACCATTTTGATCTCACTCATATTGTTGTTGTTTGGGAATTATTACGAGTTCGAATGTAAATTTCCTTAAAGTGATGGAGGCAATACATCATGCCTTATTAGGTATTTGAAAGCTAAGATTACGAAATTGACCAAAAAGTATGGATATTATTTGAAATTGCTGCTATTCTAGCTTTTCTACTTTAGTGTTATGAAAATCATAATAAAGAAGCCAACACTATTTAGGTGTTAAAATGATATCTTATAATGCACTTCTGTTTTGTCCAAATTGTAATGAAGGAGTATTTAATCTTATAATTAGTCAATTTAACTATTACTATGAATAGAACGAAATAGGTTTAGTTTTGTATGATAGTTTCTAAAACAGAGTTATATACTAACTTGCTAAGCTTTTTATATGTATAACTTGGTTGTTGTTAATTCTTTTATTTTGGATTGTGGGTAGGTATTAGCGTAGTTAGAGGTTACTGAGAAGGATAATAATAGCTCACGTGATAGCTGGCGTCGGTGTAACGGCGCCCGGATAGCATTATGTGCAGGTCGTGGAAACCAAGCAACTCACTGAACAACTGTAATTAATTTACCAACTGCCACAAGTATGTTCCTAATATTAAATACATTAGTTCCTACAAGTTTTATTCAAAACTTAGGAACTTTGACATTAATAACTATCAATAAATTGAATTCAAATTACTCATATAATAGTAACAATGTAACATTATGAGTGATCGAGATGTAGTTAAATAAAATAATATGACATAATTTATTATAACAGAAATAACTGGAAGTAAACAATGACTTCTTAGTACAGTTGTGTGACAAATGATTTTCGTTCAATCAGAATTTCACTAATAGATATTGAAGTCCGGCAGTTAACACACAACATTTGTTAACTTGTTCATTGAGCTGTTTGCACAGCCGACCTCTCAGTCATTACTTATTAGAAAAACGTCACGAATTTTAAAATGATATTGATGCAGCTGCTTGCAATTGTACATAAACTATAACATGAAATGTTCCATAAGAATAATACGAATTTATTCATCTATTTTCTAATATAATTATGAAATGACCACCTAGACGAGCCGCGTGGGCCCGTTGGTCTACGAAACCCACAGCATTTTTTTACTTGCACAATTTAATTTACTGACTAATTAGTTTTTATAAATCTGTTCCTCTCGTTTTAGCGATATTTATTTATCAAGTGTGAAGTATTGCTGATTTTACTGCTTGTTATTGTGTTTGTATGCTTCAGTTCCGTAGGTTTTGTTCAGTGAGGCGCGAAATAAATGTTGAAACAGAACATGTAACACTCGAAAGTTGACGTTGATCGCGTCTTTGTAAAGAGTTCGTTTATTACATTAATTTAGCTCCTAGCGGGTTGATACTTGTAACATACTGAGTGGTTTTTGAAGTGAACATATTATAATAATGTGAACATATGATAGATAGGCCTTAACGTAAAACGGTACGTACTAGCGATGTCCTGCGGAGTATGTGGTGGAATCTTTATGCGTAAGACTGAGCGCAGGGTCCCCGAATGTCTGTTATTTATGTTTTATTATTTTATTTTGATGTGAACACAAGCACACGTAGCTAGTAAGATTTTATAGTAACAAAACGCTGCCTTTTTAGTTAAGTGTCTGTGTTGCGTATTTATTGAAATATAACTAACTTATATCTAATTGGAGTAAAAACTCATAATGTCGCATCTTGATTGAGCACATGACTATCAATAAAGAGTTTATTGCATAAACAATGAACATGTTAGTACACTATATGAATAGCGAGGCACGATCATGACGTACGTAGTGTATGTGTAGCTAGCAGCGAGCCGTTGTCTAGTTACGAGCACGTAGTTGGCTGTGACTAGTTGGTGGGTAGTGTGCCAAACGCCAGTAGCCGACATGATTTACTTGTTTATGTGAATCTTTATATCAATCACATAAATCGCAAACTATGTACATCATTACTACGGTATACTAATCAGTATAGATGATAGATGTAAAATTATTGCATTATGTATATTAGTTCCAAGTTTAATCAATTAGTAGATGTTCCTGATAATACTAGTTCATAAATAAATATCAGATCAAAATAGTTGTGAGGGAATTCGAATTACTTTATGACTAGTTTAATTTACAGCAGAGAGCAGCTTATGTAATTTTTTCGTTTTGAAATGAAACTTGAGAAAAAATATTATAATATTAAATAGCAACTATAAATATTAGTGAACTGGATTGATATGTACGATATATGACGATTGCTAGATAATTTGATCTAGATATTTGTGGTAATGATAAAATTAATATTTTCTTATAAATTGTAAGAATCTGTGTACAGTTTTCTCAGTAAAGTGCTTGAATAAAAAATAAATACAGAGCTTATTCTCGGCGTGGAATAGTTTAGCGTCTTATTACACATAGTATTACAGTATCAATGTATTATGATCCGCTTGCTCTCTGTTCCTGTAGCACAAATATTTGGGAATTGTCACCTTATTGTATTGATAGTATTTCGCGTTCTCAACCATATGTATGACTGTATTATTGTATAGAACAAACTAATATAATTACGAATTATTTTTCAAGCAAAAACAAGTGATAATTGAATAAATGTCTATAGTAATCACAAATCTGTTTCATTGAGAGCGCGAATACTTTCCTATTTGCAAATAACAAGGCCTAGAATTTACTAAGATTATACCCTGCGTCACATGTATGCCGTCGTGAATCATCTTGATATCAAATTATTATTGTAAAATAGATTAGGGTTATAATAGATAGCGTTGGTGTAACCAGACTGGCAGGCCGTTTCTTAACAATTGCATAGATTATAAGTATTTACTTCTCCATGCATGCATTTTGACGTCACACACCAGTTGTTCCTGTTTTTCAAACTTAAATAATCTCATTAATAAGCTTTACGTGTTCTGTTTGTGCTGGAGCGGCCTGCCTCGCATTAAAAAAAGTGATGGGTAAATTCGAGTATTTGATGTCCATGTCTATCTTGTGATTCTAAATTGTATGAAAGCCAAATATTATGCCATCGTATATATTGTGAGCAAGTGTTATTTTGTTTTCAATCTAGTCCCCATCAGATGTATCGTTTGGTGCAATTCATATAATATTTATCGAATATTAATAACCTCGTTACCGATGCTGTAAATAATATTTCTTTGAACAGAAGGCAATAGTCTATTTAAACGAATATACTTTACAATGAACACTTTGGCGGTCTATCTACTTAGATGTAAAGTTTTAAAAAAGATGTATGTAGTGATGCTTATCATTATTATTTTTATATGAGAAGTTCATTATTTAAGTTACGTTTAATTTTAGAGGTAAGATCCAAGGCTGTATTAATTAGAAGGAGTGTTTTTCCCAATCAAGCGAAGCTGATTTAACATTTCACTATCCAACTGAATTAATTATTGTGTAAAAATACTCCTGTTGGTCATAATAGATAATGTCCACTTTAAAAAAGACAAAAAAAATGCCAATGTTTAAACATCGTACATTATTTATTATGATCAGCGTTCTAAGTTGTTATGTGGATATGTGTGTATGACTAATTATAAAATAATCCTTTATTTTGGTAACAAATTGGTGTTATGAAAAATTTTGTGAATAAAATAAGATGTCATTCTGATCTAAATCTTTCATTTTATCATTCAAATAATGCAATAACTGTTAAATACAAACGATGCACTTTAACGTTAAACGATTACTTTTCGTCTCGAACGATATTCTGGAAGCAGAATAAAAAGTTATTATCACATACATATCTACCTCTACTGTTGTAGTTTCCGCACACAAATAACTATTTAAGAGTTCAACTTGTGTCTGAATGCAGCAAAAGTTGTACTTACTCGGACTCTGCACTTGAACATGGCGTATATCAGCATAACGATGATGATTGGTATCATGGCCGCACCCAACAGTAGCCAGCCGGCCATAGCCTCGCTCGTCTCCCACGTGGCCGCACCGCCAGCAAAAATACACTGGAAATAATGAGCGTAAATACATACCAAACCTTATTGTGACAAGTTTAGACAACCAGCGGGCCCATTTTGGCCTTGGATATCATAATTAAAAGGACAATCGAATGAAAATCTTCCATTCAGTCGATTATTAAACACTAGAATCGAGAGCCTGAGGCGCTATAAAGTTAAATAAAAAGAAATGAACTGCGATAAAGGCTTTTCATTTTATTTGTAGAAACTTATATACCTTTACAAAGTCAAGAAAAAAGCATTTATAAAAATAAACAGTTACAAATAAATAGTAATACAAAACATCTCCATTACTTGTTAATTTCATTAAAATTATCGAGGAAACATGTTTACCATCATTAGGGCGGGTGAGAGTGCCCAACAGATCCTCATGAACACACTGGGATATTCGCCGATTGCCAAGTACACATCTTCACAGAAAGTGGTCTGTCCGTACACGTAGGTGACTACAGTGGCGATCAATGCTGCGACAGGCACACGAGGCTTCGATGCCGGCCAGTTAATTAAGAAGTTCACTACGTACAAACCACCCTGGAAAATGGAAAGATAGCTTATAAGCCCACTAACTATATTCCAAAATAACATTAACTGTCTTCGTTAATCCCGAAGAAGTCGTCAGAAATGGGATTGATGAATATAATACTGATAAACACAATACAAGAAACTTTTTGTATTACTACTTAACATTGCGTCACATTGCAACACACACTAAACTAAAAAAATAGTTTTGTTATTGCTCTTGTGTAAAATTAGAGGCTATCTTCAAACAATGTTACCTGTGTACACAGAGTTATGGTTCCGATCAAGCAGAAGAGCAGACAAATCAGTATGAGGAAGGCCCACGTGATTTTCCTGATCGAGTGTCCGGTGAACGCCGACATTATTGTTTGTACCGACAGCGCCTGCATTTAAAACAATGTCACTATTAACATATTTTCAACCTAAATAGTGGCGAAATAGACGAGGTGGACTATCATAATAAGTGCGAGTGTGGCTGCGATAGCGGCCCGTAACAATGATCTATGGGCCCTCTCGTGGCTTGGGACTAGTCAAGCAGCCTGCCTCCCAGGACTGCCTCGTTAGCCGTGGTCCCAAATGCGACTGCCGCTCAAGGGGTCTCGGGTTCGATTCCCGGGTCGGGCAAAGCATTACTGGGTTTTTAAAAATGCTCAGTGGTAGCACGGAGTCTGGAATTGTGCCCGGTATATGGTAACAGGCTCACCCCCTATTACATGAGACTCATAACATAAATAGTGAAAAGTGGGTCTTACATTGTACAGTGGCATTAAGTGCCGTAATGAGCACCTCTGCCTACCCCTTTAGGGATAAAAGACGTGATGTTATGTTGCAACTTACCGTTGTGGTAAGTGCTAAGACGAACAGTGTGAAGAATATGAGAGCGGACCAGAACTGACTGCCGGGTATACGCGCCACGTAGTCCGACCAGAGAATCATCGACGAGGACGCGCCTGCGTGCAGTAAGTTAAACAATGTATCAAAACATTAACAAAAAAGAAATATGGACCTACTCCTTTCTAAAGTAGATTAAAAATATAGGTACAGGATCCTTGGTGAAATCTTGACTTTCGATTAGGTATTGGTTATAATAAGGTCCCAGGTTTAAATTAAAATGTGATCTAGGATCTAGCTAAGTACCTAAGTATTTGCCTCCCTAATATCTTCGCTACTTTTGCATTTATTTTACGATAGCCACCACCAGCTGTCTATTCGTCAACCCTACGGATAACCTACATAATAGACAAATTTTTGAGAATGTCTTACCGGGCCAAATATTAGTGGAATTTTCGTAGTCTTTATACAAGGCTCCGTGCGTAGCTCCGAGTACAAGCGCAGCTGTCATACAACTGGACTTGGAGACGGCGAACGCAAGCATTGCCGTGGTACCAAGCTTGTGCTGCACCTTGGGGCAGTACGAGCCCAGCATTATCAGAGAACCTTGGCACACTGTCATCTCTATCAACGAGTATTCCATCGCTTCGCGCCATATCTATAATATTTAATTAACATTTTAGGCTTATTAAACGCAATGCAAAACGACTACCGTTTTATCCAATCGCTTTGAAATAGTTGAACTGAACTCCATTCATAATCGTTTGTCAAGAACTTTAAAAAGAACTTTCTGATTTACGACTCTCACTTCTATTTCCGTACCTCTAAGCTCTCAAATAGCACGCTCCAGTCGCAGTCTTTGAACATGCGCGTGGCTCCCTTGAGCTGCACTGCGCCCACACCCACGCACACCAGCACGAAGTACGTCAACACGTCTTTGAACATCACCAACTACGAGACAATTAACAAAGAATTACCTTTTTATTACACCTGGCATAGACCATATTTACCTACAACGCCTTAGTCTTATGCAGGAGTCTAAAATCTAGGGTTGCATAACGTGGTCGCAATTAGCGCAATACTACCCTAGAGTGTGCAGCAAAGGGTGTCAGACACAATTTTCAGGTCGACTAGCTTTAAATTCCGTAATGCATACGGTAGAGAGGTAGAGGTCGGCTTGTCCTATTAAAAAAAATGCGTAAGATCATTTATCATAACTTTGAGAATCGACTCATACAATTATTAATTACTTAATAATTATTTTTTTGCTTACAATGTAAGTACGTAACTTAGGTAGACAGTGGAATCGATCCTAGTTTTATCTATAGCTTTTCGAACGTTAATCTTACTATCTACAATGCATGATAGAACCAAAAAGATTTACACCCCACATAATTCGGGAACTTGTAGTAGAGGACCACAGTATGAAGTGATTTCATCAAATATTAACACTTACCTTCGAGAAGCTGTACATCCGTTTGATGACTATGAAGTAGATGAGTATCCAGCATATCACGTAGTAGATCAGTAGCTCCCATACGACGTTGCCCAGACCTCCCACCAAACCATCACGCTTCAGGTCCAACACGAAGTTACTATAATTATGAGTCACTTTTTATTCCATTCCGAAAATGATGTTACCTGGGTAATTTATGGTAAATTTACTAGTTATTACTTAATACATCATCATGCAGCAACTCTGACCACTGATTTGAAATAACTCAACATGGGTGGTTACTTACTTTTAAAACCAATGTCAATGCTATTTCAATCTAATAAATTCTCAATAATAATTCAATGTCAAAACTATACAACCCCTATCGTAGCTGTTGAAATAGCATTCAGAGTACGGAATATAAAGCCTAACTTAAATACCATTTAGTTAATTCAATATCCACGCAATACGGATGCAATGGGCGCTAGTGTTGCAACTCAAGAGTACGAAATTTCACAATACCAATGACGATCGATCGGAATTGGATTCAAGATTAGGCCCCACGATCGAGGTTTCTACAGACCATCCAATCTGAATGGTGTTGAGTCACAAATTGCCATATTTTTGCAAACCGAGGATGAATAGAAACAAAATCACTTTTCATCATAGCTATTAAAAATGTGTAAACTAACTAAAAGAAGGACTGCGGGGGTGTTTCACTCCCTGCTGGTAGCGGGCGGTGCCGTGCCGCGCAGGGTGGCTGTGAGTCTGCAGCGCAGTGCAGCCACGGCAGGAATGTATGGACCGAGTGCACCGTCAGCGCCAGGCACCACGCCCCCACCCCACCCGTCGCTAGCGCACTGAACACGCACGTGGATAGCATCGCGAAACCTATGCCTAAGGAGTAGCACGGAGACAAAAGGGATTATCAAATAAGGATTTATTGAGTGATTCTATTTATTGTAATCGACACAAAAACTGGATTTTTTTTAAAAAGTAATTCAAAGGCCGATATCTTGAGAACGGTTAAGCTTGGGATTGCGGTTCCTTAATCAAATAAGTATTCTAAACAAAGATGAATCTATCATAAACACTGTATTGGAATTCCAAATGATAGATTTGCTGATTCTTTTTTTCTCTCTCAGTGCCGCGTATCGTATCCATCCACCGACCCTGGTTTCGTCAGCGTTAAAATACCTACTGATAGAGTAGATCCAATCACTCTTTGCACTCAGTTTATTGCGGCCCAAATACTGAATGAAAATGAACATATGCAAGCTTATTTAAGCCAACACATAACTATAATAGTCTTCTACATACCTCGTGACATCGGCGCTATATCCCAGCAGTTGAGCACACTCTTCTTGGTGGCCACTCCCAGCGCAAGCTCCAGGTAAAACAGTGGATACCCAATGAGTACGCTGAAGATATTGTAGAGGAAGATAAAGGGCAGCAACCTTCGGAAGTCGTGAAGGTATGGGTGCCACCATACTTGGAAGATACCGATGCAGGCCGACACCACCAGCTGACGGTAACTTATGTTGTTCGTCCAGCGATCGTAGACCTGAGTGGACAGGCGTAGGTGCCTAGTGATGATTTGAATGACTCCTTCGAAGGTGTATTAGATCCTATAGCCAAGAACTGGCAACGTACTTGTAACTCCACGAGTGTTGCGGATGTCCACAGATCAATTGCTTAGGTACCATCAGGTGATCCTTCTGCTAATTTATCGCCGTGTTCATGGCTGTTTGTGTATGGGAACTATATAGGTAGGTACAATTAATGCATACGTTACCAGTGAACTTTCTGTAGATTCAGAATCAATAGACTCCGTCATAGTTTTAGAACGAGTGCTCTGGAATAGGAAATAAATATATTGTTTATTAATTTAATGTGTTTCTATAACAAATTATATATTTAATTCAAGCAACACTTGCCATGGTTTCACTCATTTTGAAATGAAATTATATTTAAATAAATAAATTAATAATTGTAGAAAATAATATCTTAGGCTTGGTTATAAACATTTGTCAAAATATACTGACATCGTGTCAAAGACCTTGACATAGGGTAAGTTTTTAATGAGGTTTTACTTACAAAACACCAAAGAGTATTAAATCAATATTAATTTCCAAAACGACTTTTATTTTACATCACCGCTGGCACAAGTGAGGTGAAACCCATGGGGTGAACCCCTACACTTTACAACTAAGGGGGTTAACCACTTAAATTACAACCTTTGTATTTATTTACATCTATCTTGCACTTCGCAAAGAATCTTTTTTGAAGCAAAATTCATTAGGGTACTTAGAGCGGGGGTGTAAGTTATAAAATAAAATACCATAATTGTTAATATAACAAATTCTATAATTCATTTAAGTCTATAATGTCTAGCTATACACAGTGGATTCGTGGAGCTAAATAAATTAACTAATCGCACCAAATTACGCTATTATTTGGTTTACAAACGTGATAAAACCTAGAATATTAAGTTAACCTTTTCACGCCGTCGGTCGGCTATAACCGAAAAACAAAATATGACGTGATCCCTCACAGTCAGCCACAGTCGACAAGAAAACATGATTTTTAAGTGAAATGTACTTACGTGCTTGTCGGCTCTAGCTGACCGCGGCGGTCAAAAGTTAATCACATTCTTCATTGAATTTTATTGACCGCAGCCAATTAAATGTCTTAAATACTATTAGAACGACCGTAAAGCACGCTGATTGGTTACTTTGTAAGCTGCCGTAGCGTGATAGGCCCATTTTATTTTACGTGTTAGCTCACGTGACGTTCCAATAGTAAGTTTCAAGTTTGAAAATGGATTTCAAACGACGTTTAATTTCCAATCACTAGTCAAAAGAATTAAAGTAATGTTACTACAACGCTTTACCATCTTTTTTAGAACAAACTTAGACAATAATCTGTTAATGCTAAAACAAACTTCACTGCTAACAATTTAAGGACCATATTCAGTTATATACATTACTAATGTGTTGCTGAATATGCATCAAAATCTATTAGACGACAATGTAAGTACTAGTAGTGCAATATACATAGATAAGTTATACATTAAGGCGCGGGCTCACCGCGGTGCACGGAGCGGCTACGTACGTGTGTTAAGCTTCGCTTTGGAAGAGTAAGTGGTGCTTGTTTGACTGAAAACTGCGCTGCGATAAGTGAGCTGTACATAGTCGTGGGTCATAGTTGTGTACTTCAATGGAAACGTAGACCCACGTTGTCAAACAAATACACGCAGCTATAAAGCGCCGCGTGCCCGTGCGCAGCATGCGCCGCGGTGGGCCTGTGCCTTAATAGTGTATATAAAAACATTTTAGATTAGGTAATAAGTATTATAATGTTCTTATAGTTAGTTACGTAGGTTAAAACAATGGGGGCTACTGCTCACCAAGTGGTGCAAATGTAGTGAGAGGTTTTTGTCCAATCAATGCATCTGTCAAATATGAAACGTCCAATGATGTGAAATTAGCTATTGCCCTATTGGATAAAGATCGAGATGTTAGAACTAGCGCCACCTGATGGACAGTAGCCCCATTGTACCAGATTTGTTTATACTTTATAACCATTGAAAATTAACTGACGTCAGCATATTATAACCTTTGGTATATTTATCAAAAACAGTTTTGAAAGACCGCTCAAACAATTTGTTTCTAATTGGGATGATTACAGGGTATGATACAGACTAATTATAATTAAAAATATAATTAGTCTGTAAGGTAATTAAAAAATATTAGACACGTATTTTTTATTTTGTCGTATAATAAAACAATACGTAGATAACACTAATCAAAGTCTAGGAGTGGGGGCTAAAACGTCATTTCTACATATAAAATGTACATAGAAGTGAGGTCACGCGACATTTCAAAACAATATATCGTCGAAAGTATACGTTTCTGTAAGAAAATAAATAATACGTGTCTAATGATTTAAAAAAATCTTCCAGACGGACGTTAAAATAAAAATTAGGCATCTACCCTATTACATAACCATAATCTATAATTATAATGGCCAAGTATTCATAGATTTTTAAATATCTTTTGACTAGTCATTGAAGTATTACAAAACATGTTATTGTAGTAGCTTACAATTTTCAACGCACTCTTCATATCTGAGCATAATAATTATTGCTAAACTATCAATGATATAATGTGTACATAGTTGTATAATTGGGTAGTTTCCAGGGAATCAAAATTAAAAATCGAATTAGTCCGTCAGTTAGATAATTAAACATTTATTATTATTAGACACGTATTTTTTTATTTTCTCGTATTAAGTTGCAATACTTAGATAACATTGCGCTAAGTTTAGGAGTGGGAGGTCATTACGTCATAACGTGCTACAAAATGTGGCACGTTGTGACGTTACACGATTTTTCAAATTCATATGTCGTCGAAAGTACTTAATTTTGTGAGAAAAGAAAAAATACGTGTCTAAAGTTTTAAATTAAACTGTCAAACACCAAGCGATCACCGGTGACCGCAACCTATTGTTCTATAATGACGGTACTCGAAGAGTTAATGTACCAAACGGACATAAAAATAAAATTTAGGAATATACCCTATTGTATTGAAATAATAGTCAATAGTGATTACTATTATAATCAAGCCGACGAGGGATGGTATAGTAGACCAACTTTTCGCCTTTATTGTTGTCAGTTCTACGTAAGAGGGGTGACCTTATTGCCTAACTTCGGGTATAAATCTAAACTTGATTAACTAAATAGGATCTTATTGCGCTGGATACAAGAGTTATATATAAGAAGAGGGCAGAAGAGCTTCATTAGCTTTAAATATTATAAAATTGAATAAAATAAATGTATTTGTAATTAAACAAAGGCTTTGCACTGCTTTGCAGTTTTTCTGCAAAGTCAAGTTCGAACAAAATAATAGTTTTAATGCCTTAATTTGCCAGTAGGGGCGCAAATGTAGAGTAAGATCTAAGTCACCAACAGTTAATACGACTATAACTAGTAACTTTTGAGAGCATTAAAATTTATAGGACTTATAGAGGATCATACTCGACAGTGGCGCCACTTTGTAGGCAACTTCTTAGGCAAAAAAAAAATATTTTGACTACTGTATATCGATTGGACTAAGGTCGTCCAAAATGGGTTGGGTGGATGATAAAGTCAAAATCAAGAAATCGATAGATTAGAGACGCATAAAACCGAGAAGTATGGCGGAAAATGAGAGGCATATACTCAGCAGTGGGTGAATCAGAGTTGATATGATGAAATTGATTTGCCTTAATCGATATTAAGGCTAAATCTAAGGCTAATCGATTATCTTGCTGCAAAATTAGGCCATTGATGTGTACTTACTGAGCCTTTTTAGAAGTTGTTAAAAATGTTCTAATACAAGTATCTACCTAATTTTAAAGCAATATTCAACAGCATCATGAATAACAATGTAAAACAACCCCACTAACAGTCTTATGTCGTAGCAATAAGGTTGATTTTCGTTCAGACAGAAACTTGCGTGCACATTCCACACAAAAGGATCACACATGCATCGTGCATAATGATTCCATTACACCATTTTGTGTGCAAGTCAATTATTTCTCTTATTATACTTGGAATTACGTTATTGTAAAATATTAAAAGGCAAGACTAGCAACCAAGAAAGATATATATGTTTTTAAATATCAGCAAGGATAACATTAATGGCCGTGTTTCCCAACCGCCGCTAAACCATCTAAGTAAAAAATACTTAGCGAAACGTAGCATCTAAACTAACCCCTTACTTATAAAGTTAGGTGACACTTACATATCAGTTTAGGGATTTTTTTTATTTTTTTTCGTAGGTTGGTAAAACCGGGCTTAACAATTTTAAATAGAGAGTTAGAAGAAGTGGAAAATGCGTTTGGTCAACAAATAGAATAAAATTCTGCGACATTATTTAATTTATTAAAGGTTCTATCTGTACAGGTATTTGTTGACACTGAACATATTTTTTGTTGATCAATCCGTCAATAAAACCTTTTTGGAGAAACAACTCAGAATCACTCGCAAATAACACAATTTTTTTTATACCACGACAGTGGTAAAAGTATCTCACGGCCCACCTGATGGTAAGTGGTTACCGTGGCCTATAACGATTTATTGCCAACGATAAGATTCGGTCCCTTTAAATTTGCAACCTTTTTATAACAGTAGTATAAGGTTGAAAATGGATTAATAAAGTTCACGAATTCTGTCATAATCAATGTAGTGCTAGGGACCAACCCAGTAACAATTTGTCATATCATCTGTTCACACATCACACAGTCCACTAATAAAATTAGCATATTCAAAAAACTATGAGAACAGATTTATTTTCTGCTATTGTAAAAGTAGGGACGCTGAAATTACTATTGGTAACTTGAAATAATGAAAATGAAATAACTTTCCGAGAACAAAAGTGACACTAGCCAATTCCCTATTGGACGATGAATAAGAGGTACAAACTGGCGCCATCTAGTGAGCTAAAATATAGTATTTCCGACTATTCGTGTAAGTATACAGTTGTAAGTGTATTTTAAAGGAGCAATGTATTGGACACACAGCAACACATGAAGTTATGCCAACCAGTATAAACTGATCGTTGAATCTGCGGGAAGGTCAAACAAATCAAGACCATCATAACCTGGATATGTACCTATAGGTTGGTGTCTGGCCGTATATCACATCACATCAACAGCCTATAAGTAGCCACAGCAGACCAAAGGCCTCTTCTCACACGGAGAAGGTTTGAGCATTAATCACCACGCTTGTTCAACGCGGGTTGGCGATTTTAAACTTATAATTAAAAATTATAAGCCCAGGTTTCCTCACGATGTTGCCTAAATAATTTTAGAAAGTACATATAACTCGGTAAAAGTCACATTGGTACTTGACGTTGGTAGGTTTGGAACCCTTATCCTCATGCATGCATGAGAACGGGTGTTTTAAACATTTATTTGTATCAGGCAACGAATATTGCCTGATACAAAATTAAACCTCCGGGCCACCACGACTTATGTACCTATCAGCCGGCCGTGTGTACAACGTGATTGATTACACCCGACAATGAAACGTGAAAGCTTAACTGTAAAGTCGATTTTAGTTTTATGAGACTGAAGATGACAACGTTTGAATTCATTAAGTCTGGCTGACACTTTGTATCTTATTTAATGTTCAAAAATGCTTTCTTAGTCAGTCAGTTTAATTCAGTGGTTCCCAACCGATGGTCCATGGACTAAGAGTGGTTCGCAGAAGACGAAATATGGTCCGCGATATAGTAAAAAAGTACAAGACGGAGGCGTTGTCTTGTGTTTCAAATAAATACGAAAGTTAAAGCTCGAATGAAACTTATATCGAAGAAGACAACTAAGAGGATCAACTGATTTCAATAAACGAAAAGTCACTATTTTTACGAGAACGAGCCTAACGACTCTGGAGAAAAATCATGGTTCGGACCATGTAGTCCATGTGTTTCACATGAAAGACAACACCGAAGAACATATCAAAATATTCTAAAAAGTGATCTTTGACCAAGAAAGGTTGAGAACCCCTGGTCTAACTGAAATAAATCGTTTTGACATTGACATAAGGAATTCATTACATGTGTTGCGTTCAAATCTTGATGAATACGCGAGCGGGCGTAATGTACGGTCTACTGTCACCTTACACCGCAATGGTCAATATTGCCCGCGCTGTACGGGCTCTGTGTACAGAACACACACATATAAGAAGGTCATAAGTACAACTAATATTGCTATGCCATAGTTTTGTGAGATTGCTCGACGACTGACTTCGATTGTACCATGACTATACATCATAATATGCTCGCACGCGGCTCATTCGCCAGATGTAGACGTGCTACTAATTTAAAATAGATTTTTTAGCATACCTGACACACTGACCCTATAATATACAGCCTCTACACAAGGTTAATGTAAAAGGCACTTTAGTTGGCTAAAGAAAATAAAATTAACATTAAAATTAATTAATGGGGCAAACTGAGTGTAATTTACGTCGTCTGTGTGTTGTGGTGGGGAGTATTCCTCAGAGACTGAACAAGTCACCAGCTGACGGCAGCGGGGCCAGACCGCCTGTCACGTCAGGCAGTCGGGATACGTCGGGCAAATTCTCTATGTGAGATTTCACTTCAGCTTTCACTGCGTAGATCTTCTGAAGTTTGATGTTGTATTCCTGAAACGAGAACAAAGTAAAATTAATGGTTTTATAATGAACATAAGCAAGGGAGTGTGCTCATTTTAATGAAATAGTTAAGATTGGTTTTCTTTTTGTTCAACTTTGAATTTAATCGTATTGTATAAGTCATTATTTGTCATGTCTATTATCACATGGTGCAATGTTTCCTTGTATATTGAGAGACCTGGCTCTTGTAATACAGGGATACCTAGAACAAGAGTCGGACTACACTGTGGTAATTCTCTGAAGCGCTAAAAACCGTATTAGTGTAAGCATCAATTACTTTTTTATGGAAGGAGATAACAACAAAGTAGGTTAAAATAGAAAAGTTTTTGAACACAATTTTTTGAAGTACAGATTGTAAAAAATTAGTTTATCATAATTACAATGCCGCATTTCTTTCATAGGGATAGACAAACCTACAGATTATTTTCTATAGCTTTCATGTTCATCAAATACACGCTTGTCATCATACAGGCATAAAATTGAATTATTGAATTAATTAAAACAGTTGAATTATATATACAAAACATAACACCACAACTTTTATCCCTGAAGGAGGAAGGGGGGAAGGTGAACATCCCCGAGTGTTGCACATTACGGCACTCAATACCACTGTACAATGTAACACCCACTTTTTACTATTTTATTATGCTATGAGGCCCATGTAATAGTCAGTGACTATTTCTATGTACCAGACACAATTCCAGGCTCCGTACTACTACTGAGAATTTTAGAAAAACCCAGTAACACTTTGTCCAACTCGGGCATCGAACCAGAGACTCCTTACCCAGCAGTCGCACTTGCGACCACTCGGCCAACGAAGCAAAAGCGAATAATAAAAACCGGTAAAACAGTTACCTCTAATCTAGCTTCAGCCTGTTTGGCGAGGTCTCGCTGGGCCTGCGCGAAGTCCCGCAACATGGCGGCCATTTTGCGTCGCTTGTCCATCTCCTCGCTGAGCCTCAGGTTGTACTCCGCCAGTAGCTCCGCGGCAGAGTTCACCACGGCACTCAGACTTAGGGCCGACTCCTTATCTATAAGGAGACGGTTTGTATTAGCATGTTTTCATATCACAATTTACAGGTGGGTCGCTTTATGAACTGTTGAAGCGGTTTATGCTCCCAATTTTATATAAAAAAATAGATAAATAAATGAATAAACTTTTCTGTGCATGTAATATTTATACACACACATTTTTTTACCATTTTCTGGGAGTTCACCGCTCCAGCCCTTTTTGAGCGAACTGCCTAGTCAACAATTGTCACCTATAATTTGTTCCCGTACCTAAACTTACTTGGAAACTACAAGTGTGATTCTGTGTTTAGCTTGTGTTACAATAACAAACTTTATTACATAGGGAATACAGACAAATATGTACTGTAACTCACTGTACAACTATGTCTAAACACAAAATGTCCAGTTTCAAATAAGCTGTCCAATTTTAGATTTGTTTATCTTTTCATTTTTGATTTATAGAATTGTGACAAAGGTTCATAAGCTTCATATAAGTCATAATTCTATCTTTAGTAAACAAATCTAAAGTTAAACAGATTATCCAAATCGGCCACTAAATATTTTCATACATTGATTGTTTATCGAAAAACAAACAATTTCCATTATTATTTGATATTTAGTTGAACTACCTGCATTGACTGTGTAGTCTACTGTGCACACTAAATATCACAGACATAAAGCACAATTTTGCTTGTAGGAGATTTTAGTACATTCTCCGGACATTACATAGTAAAATATGAAAAGGGAAGTTATTGACATTGTGTTTACTTGTATATTATTAATGTTACCAATTTGGGCATTTTAATAAATAAGTGAAATACCAGGGCATATCATCAGTCTCTTTATTCACATAAAATGAAATAATTTGTTACAATCACATTTGTTACACATAATCACAATGTTACACCACTTAAAAATGAAACACAATATATTTTGCACGAAATAAATTCTTTTAAACTTGTGATCACAGTCAATGCTTACAACTAGACCAGTCTTAAAGAACAATTCTGGCGAAAATATTTAATTATATTTACAAAATAATAATAAATCGTCAGAAAAAGTAATGCAAACATAATGTTTTTAGTCTTTAATTAATGAAAAGAAAAAAGAGAAACTATCGTTATTTATGTTTGCAGTCACAATGTTTCAAAACCTTTAAGAGTTCCTCATTTCTCTTATGTGTTTTCAACCATCTTTGCAAAATAATCAAGCGGTTTACAAGTGTAATAACCATGTTGATGCGATGGTATGGAGTCATTTTACCTTCTAACTTAGACAATAATTGCACTTCCGACACTTCTGGCGGAAGTGACGCGATCCTCTCCCTGACTGCTTCGTCACTAGACGCACTAGCCTCCAACTCCAACAGCGCCTGGAAAATATAATGTTCCATGTTAAAAATATTGCTTCCAAATAGTTTTCAAAATATACTACTTAATTAATCATCTATAGAGTTACAGTAGAATCCCGGTTATCCGAACATCCGATTATCCGGACTCATTCAGCTCGGCTTTTCAAAAAAAAAAAAAAAAAGAAAATAGCGTTCAACTGAAAGGTTGTCTTTTATTATATTGTTTACGTTTTGTGTTGGAAATTTAAAATTTCCAAGCGAAAAAGAGTAGTGTTGTCTCTTAAAGAAAAAATGAAGATAATTGAGAGTATTCTCAGTCGACGGTAGACTGCGATACCGATTGCGCGCTCGCACTCCTTGCTTTGCGTCGTGTGCGTGTTCTCTGAGTTTCTCAAACTTTTCCATCGCAATGTTTACGTGCAAGAGTTGTGAAGCCAATGTTAATGATGGGGTTAGGTGCACTGTTTGCGAGGGGCATTTTGATTTTTCCTGTGCTGGCATTACCGAGGCGGCGTGGAGAAAGCTCGCCGACCGTAAAAGAACCACATGGAAGTGCGGAGGCTGTGTTGCCAGCCCCCGAGCCTGTACCGTCAAATCCACGTCATCGTCGGATTCAAGCACCGTTTTATCGGAGTTGAAGAAATTATCTAGTCAAATGGAGGCATTGCCGGGATTAATGGAAGATTTGAAGGCCATAAAGGCAGAACTCTCAGAGTCAAAATCTATAAAAAACGAGTTTGCTGATGTAAAGATATCCATAGTTGACCTCAAAGCATCGGTGGAATTTGTGCACAGTTCTTTTGTTGATCTCACGAACAGGGTGGCGGGTTTGGAGGGCGAAATAGACAAACTAAAGAAAAACGAAGAGACTTTAGTAATGCTGCGTGATCATTGGCGAACACAGGAGCGACTGAATCGAGAAAATGAGCAGAGATCGAGAATGAACAACATTGAAATTAAAGGTGTCCCTGTTACTAGCTCTGAAAATCTATTTAACATCATGGCGAAAATCGGTGACAAAATTAAGTGTCACGTTCCCAAAGAACAAATTAATTATATCGCAAGAGTTTCTATGCGCAGTGATAGTGGTGGAAAGATGATAATTTGCTCAGTACATAATAACTATCTCAAAAACGACTTTATATCCGCTGCTAGAAACTTCAAAAAGTTAACTGCTAATGACTTGGGATTTCAAGGTGATAATAGAATTTATATCAACGACCATCTTACACTGGAGAATAAAGCATTATTGAATAAAACAAAATCACTGGCTAAAGAAAGGGGTTTCCAATACGTCTGGGTTCGAGGTTGTAAAATATTTATTCGTAAATCCCCGACATCTGTGAAACACCACATTAGAAACGAAGATGATCTCGAGAAGTTTTTTTGAATAATCTGTGTCAGTATGATAGTGCAACTTGCGCTCTGTGTTGTATCGTCCGAACGGGTTTGAGAACCGTAGCCTCAGGTAAATGTTTTTTCTATGCGTACCGCTCTGAGTCATCAGTTCGCTTATCGCTTCTTTTAAAATGTAATATCCTATTATTCTACAATTATAAACATTGCAACATTGATGGGAGGGATGTTAATCGTTTGCATGAGAATTTAATTTTATCAATTAGTAACAGAAACATTACTATTTTATTTACTTATACCTACTTTTTCTTCCGTGAATATAATGAATGTAATGTGAAACATAAAGTTTTTTTTTTTTATGCAATCAGTTCTTTTTATCTGCGGGCTGGATGTACGTACTATTTTGCATAGATGTACTCACATTCTTTTAATACTCATCGATGGTGCCTCTTAGCATTTATTATCAGAATGTTCGGGGACTGCGAACGAAAACGGTTAGTTTTTATCGATCAGTGGCTGTGAATTGCTTTGATATAATTTGCTTGACAGAAACGTGGCTCATTGGGGGTATACAGGATTGTGAATTATTTGATGATAGGTATATTGTGTGGCGAAGAGATCGGAATTATGTACATACAAATCAATCAATGGGAGGGGGTGTTCTAATTGCCGTGCGACGCGAAATTGCGGCTGACGATCGAAGTGAGTGGCGCTCGTCCGCGGAAGATTTGTGGGTAACTTTAACTCTTAATAATAAAAAACCTCCTACCTCCTTCAAATTACATCTATGCGTTGTTTACATTTGCAACCAACCTCTTGGAGATTCACTTATGGTTCAGTTAAATAACTTTTCTAGCAATTTACTCGACATCAATATGAAACATGCGGCTGACAAATTCTTAGTTTTAGGTGATTTTAACCAGCCCGGCATTCAGTGGATTCCTGGGAAGGGCTGTAGTTATCTGTCTCCGGGTAACGTACAAGGTCATATCCAGACAAACTTCTGTGATATTTTAAATGCTTGCAACTTGTCGCAGTACAATCCATATAGTAACAGTAATGATAGGATACTGGACTTAATTTTATCAAATCACGATATTAGTATTGCTTGCTGTACGGATCCATTGGTGTCAGAGGATCCACACCATAGGGCTTTGTGTGTCTCTGCGGATTTTGTTCACCTACCTCAGCTACCCAGCCGTCCTAGAGTAAGTAATTTATATCATCAAGCTGATTATATAGCCATAAATCAGGAAATGAACAAAGTTAATTGGAATATGGAGTTGAACTGCAGATCCCTTGAGAGCGCTGTTGACTTCTTCTATGATACTATTAAACAACTACATGTAGATTATGTCCCTACTAAAATAATAACGCCGCGTAGTAAGTATCCCCCCTGGTTCAAAAGTCCCCTTGTAAAGATCTTAAAAGAAAAATCAAAATACCATTCCAAATATAAAAAATATGGTAATCTAAGTGATTTTCAGTCCTTTACTATGTTGCGTAAAAGGGCCAAAGACTTGGAAAGGGAAATGTATGTTGATTACATCACAAATATTGAATCAGCAATTTTGAAGAATCCAAAGTCATTTTGGACTTATGTTAAGAGCAAACGGCAAACTAATTCTTATCCCTCCACATTTAAGTATGGCGAAATTAAATCCAACAATGGAGAGGACATCTGTAATATGTTCAGCAACTTTTTTTATTCTAACTTTCAGGAATTACCTCTTTCATCTGGCTCGGACCGTGTACCCTCCACACACCATAAGTCCTCAACAGCAGATATCTGCTCCGTTGAGATAGTCGAAGAGCAGGTATTTCGATTACTTAAGCACGTGGATGTAAACAAGTCGGCGGGGCCAGATAACATTGCGCCAATCTTTATATCTAAATGTGCTAAAAGTTTGACTGTCCCGTTGACAATACTATATCGGAAGTCTATGGCTGCTGGAGTAATGCCAACTGTATGGAAGTCGGCGTATATAACGCCTGTTCATAAAAAAGGACCTAAAAACGTTATAGAAAACTACAGACCAATATCCAAATTGTGTATATTTGCCAAAATTTTAGAAAAACTAGTACATACACAGCTATCTTCTACTCTTAAACATTCCTTCTTGGAGCAACAACATGGATTCATTAAGGGCCGTTCCACTACATCTAATCTTGTTGTCTGTAGTGATTATTTGTCTGAACATATGTCAATGAGGTCCCAGGTGGACGTTATATACACCGACTACAGCAAATGCTTCGATCGAATAGATCATCTTCAGCTATTGTATAAGCTGGCTTGTATAGGTATCAGAGGTGACTTGTACAGATGGTTTGTATCCTATGTGGAGGGTAGATGTCAGATAGTGGTTCTTAACGGATACTCATCAAGATCTGTCCGTGTCCCTTCCGGGGTGCCTCAAGGGTCCCTTCTGGGACCCCTATTGTTCAATATTTTTGTGAATGACATTGATGCATGTTTTCAAAATTCTAAAATACTACTTTATGCAGATGATATGAAGATACTGAGACCGATAATGACAGAATTGGATGCAATATCTCTGCAGAAGGATCTTGATAACTTTCAGGAGTACTGTGTCGTCAACAAACTGGACCTAAATGTTTCCAAATGTTTCGTATGCACTTTCACACGCAAACCGAGTCCTGTCCTTTATGACTACAAACTCTCAGGGTGCACAATATCCAGAGTTAACAACATTAGGGACCTTGGTGTGATTTTTGACTCAAAGCTAATTTTTGATACCCATATAGATAAAATAGTGAATGAGGCATCTAAGGCTTTGGGTTTCATCTTCAGAGTCTCTTCTGAATTTCGTAATATAAAAACATTAAAAATTTTATACTGTGCGTTCGTCCGCAGTCACCTGGAATACGCCTCCCAGATTTGGAATCCTAACTACGCCATATATGTAGATCGTGTCGAGAGTATTCAGAGGAGATTTCTTAGGTACATCCAGTTTCGCTCTAAAACTTACATCAATAACTATATAGATCGTTGCAAGCAGTTTCACACCCTTCCATTATGTGAGCGCCGTAAAATTGCAGATTTATCATTCCTGTTCAATATAGTAAATGGCTCATTAGATATACCGGAGTTGGTGGACAGAATAGGGTTGCGTGTGCCTTCTGCTTTTCTGCGCAAACCTGTACTTCTCAACGTCCCGTCTACCAACACTGTTTATAGACAAAATTCATACATGATAAGAGCGTGTCGGACATACAATTCAGAGTGCCGGAGGATTGATTTGGATTTGTTTCACACTAGCGTACGTAGATTAAAGAAATTAATGTCTTCAAGTTTCTTTCAAACATAATAATTATCTTATTTCTTTTTGTTTTTCTAAACAGTTTTTTTTTGTTTCGTCATATGCTGTCTTTTTAAACTAGTAATTTAATTACCTATAAGCGGAAACTTGTTATTGGCCGTTTATCTATAATTTAATCTATCCTTATGTTATACCTAGCTGTAAGTTTTCCTAAAATTGTAAAATAAAATAAAATAAAAATAAAATAAAATAAAATTAAATATGATGAATCTGGCAGTAAGTCGGCACAAATATATGGTGTCGGAACTTCTACGATATCAGGCATTAAAAATAATTCTGATTCCATAATGAAATTCACCTGCGCGCTTGAACAAGGAGATGGAAGTTCGCAACGTTCGCAAGTCATGAAAAAATCTCAAAATGAAATTCTGGAGAATGCAGTTTTTACTTGGTTTTTACAAAACAGAGCTGCGGTCAGCCCATTTCTGGACCTCCGCTATGTTAAAAAGCATTGGATTTTAATCAAAAACTTGGTGGTGATACTTGAAGCTCTAGATGTTGCTTTTAAGTGGTTTGAAAGACAGGACTTATCGGATCCCATATAGTTGTTGCAACTGAAGCCCATCAGGGACTTGGCTGCGAGGAAAAGATGGGATTCATTACGTCAAAAATCTATAACAAGTTATTTCCAGCCAACAAGTGAAAACTAAAAAGCAAAAAATAAGCATTCTCATACGTACTTACATATAGCTTACACACCCACTGATAGGTTAGAAGTCGGTGCCACGAGTTTTACGCAAAATTATTCATTAAAAACTTAATAGATACCTAACTATACCTATTAAGCTGTTTTATAATTTTTATTGTGCATTACCATTATACCTGTGACCATTACCTAAGATATATTTTGTTAAAAAAAATTGTTATGGGTTTGTGGCACCAACTTCTCACCTATCAGTGGGTGTGTAAGCTATACGTAAGTACGTATGAGAATAGTTATTTTTTGCTTTTTAGTTTTTAATTTTAGTTTGTTTTTGATTTTGAAGTCGGTTTTTTTAAACGCAGTTTCTTGTTTTTATTTTATACTTTTTAGTTTCGTACTAGAATATATTATATTATATTATGTACAATCCACATCGGTGCAAAGTTTTCATCAATACATCAATACACCAGGTAGCTACTGTTGTCTTAGCTATCATACTACTTCATCATTGAACCATTGTTCTCTTAACTATCATACTACTTCATCATTGGATATTTAGTGACAACCACACCACACCTAGGTGTAAAGTCCTCATCAATACAAATTAATGAAACTTAAACACAATGTAGCTACTGTTAACCATTGAGGAGTTCCCTCAACTATGGTACTACTACATCATCAGACCCATTGGCAATCACATACCACCTAGGTATAAAGTCCTCATCAATACAAATTATTCAAACCCAAACGCAAGATAGCTACTGGTAACCGCTGAGAAGTTCCCACAACTATGGTACTACTTCATTATCAGACCCTTATTGGCAATCACATACCACCTAGGTATAAAGTCCTCATCAATACAAATTATTCAAACCCAAATACAAGATAGCTACTGGTAACCGTTGAGAAGTTCCCACAACTATGGTACTACTTCTTTATCAGACCCTTATTGGCAATCACATATCACCTGGGTATAAAGTCCTCATCAATACAAATTAATCAAACCCAAACACAAAATAGCTACTGTTAACCGTTGAGGTGTTCCCTGCTGTCGAGCCTGTCATCATGGACAAAGAAGTTCAATGAAAAAAAACCTATAGACGTAATCTAATTAGACTATGAAAAAGCCTTTGATAAAGTTCCCACAGGTAGGCTGCTGCAGAAATTGGAATTCGTGGGAATACGCGGAAAACTACTGAGCTGGATCGAATCCTTTTTGCGGCAAAGAACTTTACGAGTAAGAATCGGTGAGACATTATCAGAACATCGAGAAGTGCATAGCGGAGTGCCCCAAGGGTCTGTATTGGGCCCAGTGTTGTATATAATATACACATTTGACCTTCCCAATTGCCTGAGATGTGAAGTCAGCATATTTGCTGATGATACTAAAATATTTGCGGATCCGACAGTTGACTATAACCATCTTCAAGAGGACTTAAACAGAATAGCAAACTGGTCCAAGGAGTGGCTCATCAACCTCAACGCTTCTAAATGTACGGTACTGCATGTAGGTACCAGTAATCCTCGTCTGACATATAAATTATGTAACGCTGAACTGACAGGGGTCAAGGGGCAAACAGACTTAGGGGTAAAGATTACCGAGGATCTAAAGTGGGAAGAGCACATAACTTCGATCACCAAAAAAGCCAAGAGTCTTGTATACCTCATCAGGAAAGCGTTCGGTGTCTTGACTCCGGAGATGATGCTTAAGATCCACAAAACTTTCGTCAGGCCCGTCCTAGAGTATGCATTTCAGGTCTGGAGCCCCTACTTCGTAAAGGATATCGAACACTTGGAAAAAGTACAGCGTAGTTTTACCAAAATACCACGAGCACTGAAACAGCATCCATATGAAGAGCGCTTGAAGGTTTTGAACTTAACCACATTGAAGGATCGCAGGCAGCGTGGGGACCTAATTGAGACATACAAGATCTTGAGTGGACATTATGACATTACTGATTTCGAGCAACTGTTCTCACGTAATGAAAACGTTCATCTTAGAGGCCACCACCTTAAGCTGTGTAAAAGCTTATAGAAAAATATTCCTCACAGACACTTCTGAGTAATCGCGTGGTCGGAGCATGGAACAGGCTGCCAGAATATGTAATCGCTGCACAGAATGTTAACCAGTTCAAAAACAGAGTTGACAGATACACAACATCGAATTAACCACTGATAGAAGAATACGATACAGGCATTTATCAGTTGTTTCAACTGCCTGTCTGAATGAAATAAATAATAATAATAAATAATAATAATAAAATAATACTTCATCATCAGACCCTTATTAAAAAAATATTAAACTGTCAAACACCAAGCGGTCACCGGTGACCGCAACCTATTGTTCTATAATTGTGTCTACAAAACCGGTACTCGACGAGTTAAACTTAAATATTATTTGATTTGCTTTGAAATCGGTTATCAGGATGTTCGATTATATGGAATATCCCTGGTTTTAATTGATCCGGAAAATCAGGATTCTACTGTTTATTGCTGTATTCTAATTTAGTGTAACATACATGTGAATAATTTGATGAATGTTTCACATGAATGGACAAAAATGACACAAAAAAAATGAAATTAAAATAGTGTTTGATGTGCTATGCCACACTAAGCAGTAAATAATAAGTATGCTTACCTTGACGAGCTCCTCAGGTTCTGGAGGGTCTCCAGGTGGAGTCTTGGGGCTGAGAGTAGTGTGTGTCTCCAGATGTCCGTCCACCTCCTTGGTCTCACTGCGGCGACGTTCCTGCTTCGAGCGCCCCTCTACTTTAGCCTTCTTCTCCGGTGTTTTGACAACTTCTACATCCACCGACTTGCGTTTGCTTACTTTTTTAGGTAATGCATCATTAGGATCAACTGAAATGTTAAAAGTATTATGAAATATTAATTTTTTGAAGTTAAATCTTGATTTAGTTGGTGTTAAATAAATACAAATGTATTTATACTAAACCATTCTACTCATGTAAAATCTTTGAAAAGTGCAAATTAACCATACATATAGAAAGAAAATCTGTTAATTAAACAATTTGTCACACTAATACAAAACATCAATTGAATTTCTATTATGTTTTAACCATAACTGGTAATGTGAAACACATACTACATATATTATAATTATGGAAAAGAAATTCTATACGAAAATATTTATGATGTTTCTTATAGACAAAACAAGTTTTTACTCAATTAAACAAAGATTTTTAAGAATTTAAATATAATTTAAAATAAAGCTTAAGAATTTAAGGGATACTTTTTTAGTTTGTCACTCTTAGACAGGCTGATAAAATGTAATGCCATCTATAACAACAGTATGGAATTATCTTTTAACTGAAAGAGAGTATCATACAAGTCTATTCCAGATGTACAAAAAAGGTAGAATACAAAAGATGTAAACTAACCAGCCTCTTTGAACTCTTGTATCTTTTGCGAGTCATAGACTCCTCTTTCCTCCCAAATGCTGAGTATTCTGTGCAAGGAGTGTTTAGTCTTTGTGTTTATACCAGTCTTAGCCATGTGTTTGAATGATTCCACCAGCACTTCTCCAAACTCTTTGCCATATTCCGGACCTTTCTTTTTGCTATTTTGAATCACATCATTAGCAAGATACATAAATGTAAGTTGCTTGCTGTCTTTTGCTGTAAAGAAAAAACTCTATGGTGAAGAATTTATGGTTTTGAAGATGTTTGTTGTTTACTTTTTTGTGGCATAGGTCTCAATGAACAGTATTGTTTAAATGTTCACTAAAAGGCATAATAAAATGTTTATAATTAGAATAATTGCTTTTTAGAATGCCGTAGTAGCCTGCGTTTCTCAGATCTGGTAGCCAAATGCCATTTATCGCTTGTCCACTTGTAGAATAGAAAACCAAATTATGTGGAATTGACATAAATTTTGACACAGTGTCATCCCCATACATTTTGATTTCTACTCTCTCTGTAGACAAGCGCTAAAGTAGCGTTTGGCTAAAGACCCTGATTCTCTGGTTTGTCAAAGAATTATGAGGATTTCCCATAACTCTCAGTCACAATTTGGAATTGTGATTGGAGCAAGACAAAAGGTCCATTGTCTATTACATGAGACTTGTAACATAACTGACATGTTGACATGACATGTTAGGATGTTATGTTGTATATTTGTAAGGAATGTGATATTATGTTGTCCCTACAATTTGAATCTCTTAAAGGTGTGAAATGATATTTAATTATTTTACAAAATGTCATTTAGGTTTGACATACACAAGTTTAAAATTCAAAATATGATATGATAATGAATAGTTTGATTTTTATTGGAAGCAGGTTGCAAGCTACAGGTGGTTTTTTCTTATGTAGGTACAAATTATGTTATGCACCACAAATTTATGGTCATTTAAAGGTTTCAGAGTATTTATTTCTTCTAAAATGTTTTTACGCAACCAGTAAACGTATTTTAATGCATTTTGTATTGGAAATAATGTCTTATCACAAGAATCCGCCATTAGCATCATTATTTACTCATCAAATTACAATGAGAAATGCCAAGCATTTATAATCAATGCAAAGTCAAATATTTATTGTTTCTCGATACGTGGCTAAAGTGAGATAGTCAATACATTTTTCAACTGTTATAACTACCAATAAAACTACCAGATTATTCCATTGTCGTAAAATATTAAAACAAATAAATGCGAGACGTTTGCCCCGGATATCAAGCACCAAATTGGCTGTAATTTTGTAATGTAAGGCCTTTATCAACGACGAAATAATGCATTGAAAGTAAGTTGATCGTGAAAAAACTGAAATGGCTACTGAAAATATAATTCTAGGTTACCTTTTAGTATTTCTTTGAACCAGGTTTTCACAATAACAGCGTGGTGCTTTCTGTGATGGATCAACCACAAGGACAGTGTTTGAATACTTTGCTGGCTAGAATTCAGTTCTTGGAGTTTCCGAATTAACGCGTTTTCCGTAAAACCCGACATAGTTTTGGAAAATTTATTTAAAAACGCCACCAACTTTAACACCGCACTCTTCACTTGACGTTGACTGACGCCATATTGATTTCGTAAAATTGTCAAAAAAGGGGAGCTTGTTTGATTGTTTCTTCGCTTATCTGTGGATACGTTTTGTTTAACCATCGCGGCATATTATTCACTGTCTCACTGAATCTTCCTATTTTGGCTCTTATTGCTCTTGAAGTTGTATTTCATTTTTATTGTTGTAAATATGAGTGCACTGGTTTATATATTATTTATGAATGAAAAAAATTATTAGGAACCATTTTTTTTTCTAGACCCGTTACAAAAATGAAAGTAGCTATCACGGCTTTTATACCTCTGAGGAGTAAGAAGGCAAAAGCGGAGCATCAATCAGCACCATAATCTTAAATTCGGAATTATGTTTCGGTAATCGTAGTCGGATATAATAATATGTTTGTACACGCATCCACGCACAAGGCACGACTCAAAAAATAAATTGTAGTGTGAGTCAATGATTTTGTTTATTATCAATTAGTTTTACGCAGACACGAACGCCCTGGACTTGTGTTCCATTGTGTTCATGGCTGTATCCCGTTGTAAATAATATACATCCTGGTTCTTAAACGAATTGCTATAGTATTGGGATGCTGTCACGGGCTTGAAAAAGAACAGTTATTAACTAAATCTAACATTCTATTAACTAAATCTAGTTAGTCAGTATCTTACGTGCCGCAAATGCACAATAACCCCTATCTAAGGGCTTAGTACGAATTTATTTTACGTTTAAAATAATCAAAAGGAGTACGCGTTCGGTCAAGGCTATTTGAAGGTTTTCTAAAAAAGATCGGGTCTTCTAAAAGAGATCTGCTCCGGAGCAACAACAATGCAATCCAACAATGCAATGCCTATTACAACATATCCCTAGGGAGTCGGGTGCCTCCTCTAAGCCTCGCTGTATACGGCAGCACGTGACAATTGTGCCACCGTCTTCTATGAGACCCAGACCACTGGGTGAGCAACTAGATTCCCCACTCTATAGTGGCCCCGTGGCTGCGAAGGTCCGCCTGAAGTGGCCTCTGATGCCCTGTACATCCACAACCTATGACAATCGGTAGAAATGGTTTTACGTCTTTGTTTTCGTCCGAGTCACGGGGGTTGAGCAACTAGCGACAATTGCACAGCAACTGGTTATCCAATTACGAACAACGAATACTGCACTATCGCATTATATAACGATAATCAAAACTTTAAATTATCTTTGAGTAGGTAGGTAATTTCTCAAAATCAGTTAAGAAAGTCTTAAAAATATTTTACTCGACCGAGGAATTAATTCCCAAACCCTTTTCTCCAATCGGCCAGCGAGATTTTTCAAACGGTAGTAGGACCCTAAGTAAGGTATCTATCTAAATGAATAATGAAGCCTAGAGTATTGTGTGCCTAAATCCCCACCTAAAGTTCCTGTGGAAAACTCTGTAGTTTAAAAGCACACTGAAACGAGGACAAATTGCATTTGTAGGTAGGTAATATTATAGGTAATGTATCTCGACGTAAAATATGCAGATATGTTATTAGACTTTATAATTAGACTTGAATTGAATAACTGTTAGTTTCAATAAATCTTTGTGTTTTCAGTCATTTTTAAAATGAGCGAGTCCTCTGGTAGCGCGGGTCCAGTGGCGGATCTAATTGAATGCTTGCCAACTTGTCAAATTCAATACTTTTTCGAAGTTCGAACTGTCGAAAACGACAAGTTGGTCATAAAATCAATTAATGAAAGTGTGATTATTTTTTAATATTTTATTGTATTGAACAGTCGAAGTAATAAAGAAAGAAAGTATCCAAGAAAGTATCAAAGAAAATAATAATTAAAGAAAGTACCCAATTGCTTATACCAACTGGTGATACGTCTGCTCATTTATCCCTCTATAGCCTCTATGGCATACTTTTTGTATACTGTATACTATTTGTATATGGCACATTTTGTATACTTACTAATGTGACTATTATGACTTATTGAATATTTTTCTAATGAACTATAAACACTATATCTATTTGGCAATAGACTACAAATTAGAATAAGAATTTTACAATACTGCACCTATATATATATATGTATATAGATAAGTATGACAATAATAGTGCCGTAATTTTCCGAATTAAGTAATATGTAGGTACATTTATTTTTAATTCATTATACTTACATATATTATTAAATTTCTTCTCTATGTAATTACAAATAGGCACGAGACATGTACCTAAGTAAGCCAGCGAATAAAATTATTTAGATATTAATAAAACATCTAGGTACCAATTTTAATCATCCACGATGTTAAAGTGTGATTACTGAAATACTGAAAGTGAACGATCAATTTTTCGAGATTAATAGGTACCTAGATTGAGGTACTTAAGTGCATTAGAGGGCGGACAAACCCGGTATTAGCATATCCAATATATCGTTAAAAATAAAATTTCTAAAAGCTCATTCATTGTATAACGCTTGCAATGTATCTAAAAGTATCTAGGCACCTCTAACAAATACCTAGACGTCTGTAATCACTTGTTTTGCGAATGATAGCGGGCGGTCCCGGCCGTGCCATCGACCGGTCGGACAGCGATGAACATGCGTTATTCTTTCTCTATACTTACACCTGCGCCGGCCCAGCCTCCACTCAGTTTAGCTTCCAAAGGCTGAGCCGCACGCGCTTCCACCGCCGCCGCGACCGACGACACACAAAATTCGCGCGAAATAAATATCGATCATATCTAACCTAACATTTGATAACGAATTATTTAATCTAAGTATTTATATAATCTATATTCCTCTCCAGTAGTGTTGTTACATTTTTGTATAGTTTATTTATTTATTTATTTACTTTTTATAAAATTAAATAAAAATGAATTTCTTTTTTGGTAAAAACATTCCCAGTGTTCTATTGATGTCTCTGGTTATTCTGGCGAATGCTCAAAGAAGAGATGTCGGTAAGTATTTGTTTGCCTCCTAAATTTACTAAATTAAATAAAAAAACCCGGAATAATTAGAAAAAGGGCATTATTACTCAATTCGTAAGTGGCTCTAACTTTTTTATGCATTTCTATAAATAAGGTATCTATTCTAAATACTTATTAGCTTATCAGTGCATTCTATATGCATAAATTCTCATAAAATATTGAATAAATTCGCATACTTGATAGACGTGCTCGTCTCAACGTGTAATTTGATAAAAACAACTCCTTCGATGATATTTCCTTGGTCGTTCAAGAACGAACGATGACCGCCAACTGTTTTGTCAAATGATTATATTAATTCATGTTATGTTGTTATTTCATTCGATTTAGCACGAATGTTATAGGATCACGAGTATTAAATAATGGAATTTTTTTTTTCTAAATAAATGGAGTTCTAAATTTATGTTGTTACCACTATTATGGCAAGGATTAGGTATTTAACTAACCTATATATCAATGTTATTTTTGGCATAGATATCCTTGTTCTGCCAAAATTGGCCGAAATCTCCTTAGTTCTAAAAATTTTTATTTTATATGCAAATATTATTCGCCGATGATTTCACATGCATAATGCATGTTATGTAGGTATAAACGTTTATATAATAAAGATAGTGTGTGTGAGGCTTAAAGGAGAGCCTACAAAATCTATGAATAAATATTTTGCATACATGCCTACTTGTTAAAATATAACTAAAGATATTTTTGAAATAAAATTATGTAGATATTAAACTTAGTATTCATTGTTACTAATAATATTGTATATTTTTAAGAATACCTTATAAATAATTTGGGTAGTACTTAATAAAAGGCATGTCAAATATTTGTGTCCTAAAGTGCATTAACGTATGAAAAACCTTTACCTTCATTCAATTTTGCTTTTACAAAACCAATTAAATTGATAACAATGACAATTTAATTATAATTAACCGGCATTACGTTAAACGATCATAAATACATATTTTAAGTAAGAAAACGACCTTCAGATGTTCGTATAAAAGGTCAAAAATACGCGACAATATGGCCTACTTACCGGACAGCGCGTAAGATTAAATTTTATGTAAAAAACCTAAAATAATTTGGCATAAACCTTGATAAAATACTAGTTCAGTTATTGGCATTGTAACCAGTTATCCGTACTTGTTATGTAAGGAACCATGATTATATATAAGAATGTATAAATAAAGCATTTTGGTTCGACAGTGGCCAGCATCGGCATGTCGGCACCACTTTTACTTTTCATGACACAACTTGGGTGTGATTTCTCTTTCGGAAGCAAACTATTCAATGTTTGACCATCAGATATAAAGTAATAATATTATTAGTATTATTACGAAGGAGTTCCTATATTTGCATTTGAAATTATTATAATGTCTAAGCCTAGGTGCAGACAACACGACGCACCTGCATAAAGAAAATGATAAAAATGAAGTGTGGTTACGTCATTATTTTAACATTTCTTCGAATTCTTTCCGCAAAATTGTGACAGAGATGTATTTATTGAATTTTTATTAAGTGTAGGTGTACCTATTGCTATCAAAATCTTAATCCAGAATGCAGAGATATTTGAGTCACTATTCACTAAAACCCCTTTCGATAGAAATTAAAACAAGAAATAATGGAACCTATGTACTTACAATGAGAAGACGCTATGTACAATAATATTATTGCACAATAGTAATCATGTTACCACACAAAATTTGTAAAAGAGAGAGTGTAATGCGTGTAATTTTGAGAATCTTTTCGAACTATGCGTAAGTTAAAAAGTGGTTTAATAATATTTTTATGGAAAAATAAGATTTTAAATATTAATATGTACCTAATTGGGTACTTTCCTTTCCTTAATCAAAAATAAAATATTTCGACTGCCTAATACAAAAAAAATATTAATAATTAATCGCACTTTCGTTAATTGATTATATGACCAATTAAATTTTAGTATTCTTTTAACTTTATAAGAATAAATATGCTGTTTGACGCTATAAAAACGTGAGGTCACAATACACAATCTCGTACAAAATTCATAGAAAACTGTCGTTTCAATGACAGTTCGAAAAAAGTTCGAGTCATTTCATTGCTGCACATAATCTCCACAGTAGGTAGGCGTGTTGAAGATCTGTGATTTTATCCCATGCGAAATTAGTATCTACTACCTAATAATACTCATTTTATATAAAAATTAATGGCTTTTAGTTATAATAATAATATTGTCCATGTGTAGTATTATGAATAAGTATATAGCCTTATTTATTGCGTTTGGGGACTTGACTTGATATACCTAATATTATTACCACAATAGGTAATTTAGATAGTAATTTAAAAACGTGTTTTATTTAATAATTATTTATGGGGGAAATATCTGGATTATACATGTATTTAATTCATTGACGCGATATTGAATATAAAAATAGTATTTATATAATTTTATATTATTTTGTAATTGATATATTTCTTCGTTTGTCATCAGATCTAAATCAAGAACATCTATTGAAAATAAATAATAAGAGGACATATATTTATTAAATTAGAATTAATACAAGAAGCAACGACCTAGATTTAGATGGTTGGGGAAAACAATATAATGTCTTTATAATGTACATAAATATGTTTTTAAATTACTTAGTAGGTATGTAGTGGATTGAGCCAACGATGGTCAACAAAAGAATGTCATATAGTAAGAAACCTATAAGAAATGAGGTTTTAATAGAGGTCTATTTAAAAAAAAAGAATTATTAAATGTCACAGAAATGTCAAACGGTGCAAGTTTTAACACACCTCTTTAGTGCTTATACTTACTTACATATTGCCAATTTTTCTTTTGAATTTCGAACCTGTATTTTTTCAGTTAATTGGAATGCAATATTTATTATGCTCTTACTTAAATAACTATTACGAAAACTTTTAACCGCAGTATTTAACTAGATGTGATGGAATATTATTTTTAACTAACGCTGAACTAATATTGCTCCTTGTCGAGTATATTTTATTATTTATTTTGGTCTCTATTGAAATTCTGCTGCAATTTAAGTGACTAAACTAATATTATAATGCTAAAGTTTCATGTAGGTATATCGTAGGCGAAGATGTTTGTTAATCAACAATATTAAAACGACTGAATCAATTTTGATGCAATTAGGCAAATATATAGAACATATTATTAAAAGTGCTGTTGGATAAATTGTAATGGATTCCTGTTCATATTTTAAAAGTGTTCTAGAACTTATTATATATACTCTAGCATGCAATCAAAGTTTGACTGCATGGTTTGCGCGTTGGCTGGGCAACTGGCTGCGTCGAAATGTGCAGCGGGTTCGATCCTCGCACGAAGTGACTCTTTGTGTGATCCACATATTGTTGATTCGGGACTGGATGTCATGTGTATGTGAACTTGTATGTTTGTAAACGCACCCACAACATAGGAGAGAATCCTAATGTGGGGCAAAGGCTTCTTAAAAAAAGTCACGGTTAAGTAGCTATATATTTCCCGTGACTTTGGTTGCGTGGTATATTATCTACCTACGTAAATATCATTATGTAGTAACTTTTGCGTATATCATATCGAAATACAAACTAGTTTGACACCTTGAGTAATAAACTGTAATAATTATTACGCACTAATTTATGTTAATCTGCGCGTGAGCAGGCCTCCAGCCATCCATTGCAATTGCAGTCTTTGAATTCATTTTATTTGAATTTGGAAGGAACTTTAACGGTCAATGATGGCTTTAGGTTTAAATATCGATTTGAACATTTCAGTTATAAGGTTGTCAAAATTTATTAGCGTGTTGTGTAGGTAGCATAGATTTTAAAAATAAAAAGTATTTTTAAGTATAAAGTAGCTTAGTCTGTTGTCTAAAGTTTGATTCCTAGTTAAAAAAGATTTGGTTGATGGCTTCCGAAGTTTTAACCGTACATAGCTACTTCAAGCCTAAGGCTAAGGGCTCACGAAGCAATTTTCTCCCGCGCCCGCCGCTGTTAAGGGCCCGCAGTCTTCGTAGAATATAGATATGTACTTATTTATTTATTTATATATGCTTTATTGTACACATTTATGTAGTTTAAAACAAACAATTAAAAAAAAATCTTTAAACCCAATTCAAGTAAATATCCGTACAATGGGCGGTCTTATCACACAATGGTGATTTCTTCCAGACAACCTTTGGATGGAAATATTTGTAAGAAACCAGATAAGGGGTAGTTACGTGTACAATAAAAAATAAAAAAAAGACAAAATAAAAAAGCCTACAATACAACCTACAATAGATATAATATACTAGCAACATATAAAAAGAAATACATAAATAATATACAAAAATACAATAAGCTATGTGTGTGTGTGTTTGTGTATGTGTGTGTGTGTGTGTGTGTGTGTGTGTATTAGTACTTATGTAAAAATTAAAGCACAATTCACGACTCGTTACGGAAAAAATCATCAGAGAGTTCTTAACCCAACTCTGCTTAATCATTAGGGAAATACACGAATGAAGTAACCTCTAAATTACCACAGAATTACTTAACTAAACACTTCAAATAGGAAACTACAACATAATTACTTAGGGACAATAGATACTTGAGCATAAAAAATATTTCCAATGAATTTGGACCTTACCTGTATGCGGATGTGGTTATTAAGTACATATACAGTAAGTTCAAATTACAAGAGCCTTAGAATTCGTTTTAAAGGCATCTTGAAACCGCATAATCTTTGACATATGTATATATAACTTGCCAGTATGTTTTTTTTACGAGCAGACGGATCACCTGATGGTAAGCAATCGGCGTCGCCCATGGACACCTGAAGCACCATAGGCGTTACAAGTGCGTTACCGGCCTTTAGGGGATTCGGAATTGAGGATTGCTGTCGTGTTATGGGATTGGAGAGATTGAGGAAGGAGTGGGGGATAATTGAACCGCTGGTAACCTCACTCGCTCAAAGTAACTGTTGTTCCTGTGAGGCCGTGGTATCACTCCGGTCG